CAAATATCCAAGAATCCATCCAACATTTACCGAACCTTCACTGTGTATGGGTCTTTATTTCTGGCATTGAAACAGGCATGGACCCTGACCTCAGAAAGCTTCCAGTCCAGGAATGAAAGTGTAACTGTATCTGTCAGCAGAGAAATCAAGGAAGGCTTGGTGGAGGAAGTGACACGTACACCAGGCATGAAAGAGGGACTTGGTGGAGGAAGTGACACGTATACCAGGAATGAAAGGGGAGACAGGATGCAGAAAGAGGGAGGACCCGCATAAGCAAAACCCTGGAGTGGGATGTTCCAGGTGTTTAGGACAATTTATTAATAACATGGAATTAGTTTGGAGAAAGACTCAGAACTTCTTTCTTCAAATACTTATTGTGTGCCTTTTGCTCCTGCAGAAGTAATGCTGTGCTTGCTGAATGAATTCAGGTGTACTGAGCCCAGCCTGATTGCAATTCCGGTGTCTGGAATTGGTCCCTGTGAACATTCTGACCTGGGAACATTACAGATAGTGGCCCTGCACCATCTCACCGGCCGGCCCTGCACCATCTCACCAGCCAGCTTTACCTCTTTGACTCTGGGGGACATCAGCTCAGGGGCACCGAAGGTTCATGATTTTCAAACAGGTGTCCATTTAGATAAATGCAGAGCACTCAGATGGTAGTGAGCCAAGAGGCTATTCAAATAAATCAGTGTAGTATTTATCTCATGTATGACGCTACTTCTCTAAAATAATTCCCATTATCATGTGCCCATGGATTCAGCTGCACGGGTACTTATTTAGCATTTACTGTGTGATGAATGCAAAAGGGGCAGCAAAAAATACGGAACGTGGCCTAGCATAGATGGAGCATCTGTAATGCACCAGGCAGGCACTTTGAGTTCCTTGTCTCATTTATACCTTAAAACCAGCCCACGAAGCTGATAGTTTACACACTAAGGAATAAACAACTGGCTCAAGGTCACAGATTGGTAGTAGAGGCAGGATTTGAACCCAGGAAAGTTTCCTTCTACCTTACAAGAACCCAAATAACTGGGGTAAGCAGTGCTAGGACAGGTAAAAGCCCATGGACAGTGAGAGGAGGGTGAAATCTGCTCTCGCTGGAAAAGCATCATGGAGAAGGTGGCAGCTGAGATGCACTTAAAGCACATGGATTTTAGCATCGCGATGAGCCTGTGAACAGGGAAGCTTTCAGGTAGAGGGAAGCTATTACATAAAAGTGTGAAGGCGGGAAGCAGTAGGCATGTCTTGGGAGCGATGAGGAACATAGTTAAATAGGTATGGCTAGATAAAAGTCTGGAAAAGCAGATGATACCAAACATTGAATATCAGGGGCTGGTGGACAACGGGGAGCCACGAGGGGCTGGCTGGTGAGCTCACCTGCTTACAGCATGGTGCTGATAACACCAAGGTTAAGGGTTCGGATCCCAGTACCTGCCAGCCACCAAAAACAATGGGGAGCCACAGATGGTTCAGGGGCAGAGGAGTGACATGACAGAAATCAAGCTGTGGGAAACAGAAGCTGGCATATGTGGACAGGGTGAAGATGGGATGAAGGATGAAGGGCTTAAGAACCATCATTGGTCCTGATACTCTTCTGAGCTCTGTCACACTCCTCACCAGTGTAGAATTGATGTCTGTCTGCCAGTTGACCATATCTGATTGGTTTCTTTTTCCAGCATCCAGCAAAAGGCCAGAAGCAAAGTTTGTATAGAACTTATTGCAAAGTTTGTATAAAACTTTTTGAAGGAAACAATGAACTTTAATAAAGTATGCAGCTCTCCAGTGGTGACACTGCAAAAAACACCCAAGAAGCAGACAAATGTCCATGAAATCATAATCAGACTCTTCAGTTAACTCAGGAATTTCAATGTGATTTCTAATCACTTATTCTACAAATTATTTAACTGAGTGTTTCATGCATAGCTTTTGTTAGGGGTTAAGTAGAAACAAAAGCAAAAACAACTCAAATCCTGTTATCAAAATTGGAGAGGCAAACTATGAAACATTCAGGTAACAGTGTCCCCTCCCCGGCCTTGATGTAGCCCCCTTGCCTCATTCATACATTCAATGAATTAGTATGCATAAATTTAGAACAGTACCTGGTAAATGCTAAGTGCTTAATAAATGTTAGCTATTATTGTTGTTATGACTGTCATTCATTTATCCATAGAATATGAATGCACATTTTGTGCTAGGCATTATTTGTGTACTTTTATTCATGCTAACTTAAACCTTGCCACAACCACCAAGCCAGGGAAATGTCATCATTTCACTTCACAGATGCAGAGACTGAGCATGTGACCATTGATTAGCACGTAGATTTTAACGTGCACACGAATCACCTGGGTCTTGTTAACTTATAGATTCTGATTCAGCAGGTCTGGGGTCAGGTCCATGATTGTGCTTTTCTAACAAGGTCCCTGGTGCTGCTGCTGCTGCCGCTGCCATGGACTGCGCTGAGTAGTGAGGCACTTAAGCACACCTGCTGCTGCTGAGCCGCAGAGCCTCTGACTTCAAGTTCAGGGGTCTCCTTTCCTTTTTTCAATCCTTTTCACAAGTCTGAAGCTGGAAATCAAGTGTTTGTACTATAGAGACACACACATGCAAATGGAATTTAGACAGACCCCTTGATTCATTCATCGAACATTTATTGAGCCCTGGGAAAGCAAAGGACAAGACTGGTCTGTGGCCAAAGGGCTCACAGCCTTGGTTGGGGGGGAGGGGAGGTGGAGAAGGGGGAGCCAGGGATCACAACAGGCTGCACTGGAGTCTTGTCCCTAACTTCCAGTTTTCACTTTGTTGGCCAGTTATACAACTGTAAGATCACCAGGTACTTGTGCCATTGGTACCTTGAATCCATTATGCCCAGAACCTAACCTCTGTCCATCCCATCCAAATCAGCAACTTCTTCCTATGCTTTTTATTCCTGCAGCAGCACCACTCGGAAGAAACCCAAATTTGGCTTAAACCTGGATTTCCCTTCATCAGGTGGGCAAAGTGTGCTTCTGGGCTAGTGAAATTGGTCCCCTTGCATTTTCAATAATAAATACGCCTAGAGAGCATCAAAGGCCTTACAACCTCCTTGAACAACGTGGACACCAGAGGGCGCCTGAGGACCACTTTTCCCGACAAGTGAGGGTCACACTCTTCCCCTACACAGTCCGTTTTTGCTTTAAGACATGGTCTTCTGGGGATTCTTTGCTGAGGATCTGAGTCAGTTACATCAGCAAATTGCGCACACCTGCAGCCTTTCTTTGGCTAGCACAGAGCTGCTTCACCTTTTAAAGTTCACGATGAAATATCCCTTTGATTTCCTCGCGCTCCCTCCTGCCCTCAAAGTCCTCAGTGTTGTACACACGCCATGGAAAAGACGAAGGCAGTGAACGTTTATTGAGTGTCCGCTGTGAGCTGCGCCCTGTGCAGTGCATTATCTCATTGATTAGGTTCATCCCAAGCCTGTAGATTGCATTAGCCTCTTATAGAGAGTGGAGATATTACATCTGTACTGAGGAGTAAAATCTGCCCGAGTGTTTTGCTTCCAGAGTGGGAATCCTTTGTTGTGTTAAATTCTTCATGGCTCCAGAGTTGGGAGGTCGGAGTCGGTTCATGATGTTGAACACTTTCCTCCTGTCCCTGGATGAGGAGCTTGACCCAGCTGTGTGTCCTCACAGCTGACTTGCCCTGGCACTCTGTTCTTTCCAAGGTGACAACTAGAAGGTCTGGTTAACGTGGCCACACCAGAGTGTCAGTGGCTGATGCCAACTTCATGAAGAAATGAAAGGCCTGGGGTGAGGATACCCCCTCAGGTGGAATGTCCCCTCTCTGGCCCCCAGATGCCTGTCTGTCAGAGAAGGGGTTTGGATAAGGTGATCTACAGCTGCTTTTCTGCCTTAACCGATGTGGGGGATTTGGAGGCCTGACGACATAGCAGGGACAATAGTTTCAGGTTGGTATTTTTCATGCTTCTCACGTTAAGCCTAATGGCCAGAATTATCCCTTCTAGAGATTGCCATTATTGTTTTGGATAAGATTGTAGAATGTTAGAAAAAGAGAATCACAGAAACTCACTCTCATGGAAAATTAAAAGGACTTAACTTTGAAATGGTAGGCAGGGCCACCCACGTCAGATGTGTTCCTACTGTATCCCAGTGCTTAGCACGTTGCTGGCACATGGCAGTTGCTCAAAAAATACGAATGAATGAAACTAGACTAATTAAATTCTAGAATGATAAGAATCTGAGAATCAAAGAACATTAGAATTATAGATAAGCATTATTCACTTATTCAGAAGTGGAACTGAGATCCCAAGGGTGGCTTATGGTCTTCTGGGTGCTGGAGGGTCCTGTGGCTCCTGGGGCAGGGCTCTTCCTGGTGTGGCCTGGGAAGCTGGTGATGGCCAAGGCCATGGTATGGGACTCTGAGGGAGGGATGGGTTTGCAGGAAAGCAGTTTTCCAGAGGGTGGGCCTTTGGTGCCAGTGTTCCCCAGGCCTGGGACTCAACAGCCCCAGGCGGGAGGAGGCTGAGCACAGCCTTAGCAGGGCGGGGTGGGTCCGGTGCACAGCTTGTTGGGGTAATGGGCATATTTGCGGTCGTAGGTGTCCAGGTTTTGGCGAAAGCAGAGTGCAGCCCTCTTGTCACACTCGCAAGTCTGCCACTGGCAGGCGGTTTTGCCGGCTGGATGGGACAAGGTGAGTCAGGGACCATGGAGGCTCAGGACTCTCACACTCAGACACTGATGGGACAGCTCCCGATCCACATTCTCAACCCTATTCTGATGGGAGCCCATGCTTATAGGGAGTGTTTCAGGAATGGGTGAGAGACAAGGGCAGGGCACACTGCTGCCCAGCACACTGGGAAGGCCCATTTGTCCCTTCTTCGCCCTTGGCCCTTTCCTGCCCCAAGGAGGCCATCTGGTGCACTGTCACTTGCCCCAGCCCAGGGGGTTTCCAGGCAACTCCTTTTCACTGATGGTGGATTGCAGCCACCAAGCAGAGCGGGAAGCTGTGAAATGACAGCAGCTCAATCCCAGGTGGCATGTGTGTGCCCCAGCACAGCCCGTGCCCAGGAGGGAGGCCACTGAGACCAAAGCTTGGGGTTTGCTCAGGGCCCTCTGCCTGTCCCCACTGGAGTGAACAGAGCCCATGTTTCTGCCCATGCCCAGCGTGGGAGTCAGACGTCCACCCTGGCTGGCATCACCTCGGTGGGCACGGGGGGCCCATCTTCCTCCTCTCCCTGCTGCAGCTGACTCTGGGGCTCTGGTTCCCACCCTGGCTGGCATCACCCTGGTGGGCACGGGGGGCCCATCTTCCTCCTCTCCCTGCTGCAGCTGACTCTGGGGCTCTGGTTCCTTTTGTCCCCACGAGTATATCTCACACCTCAGTCCAGGTCAGCCTTCATTTCCCATCAGGGTTCAGCCCGTGTCTGCTATTTCAGCAAAACTAAGAGCTGGAAGGGGCTTAATGTGGTGTCAGTTAGCCTCTTTGGGGGGTTTGTGCTGGGAGCTGGATGGACTAAGCTGGGGAAGTGGGCGTGATTACCTGTGTTTTATAGATGAGGAAGTAGAGGCTTTCCAGGGGTTATGTCACTTGCACAAAGTCACAGAGTGGGTAGGTGAAGCCCTGCGTAGAATCCAGAGCTTGTGTCCCCACCCACCTGACTCCTCCCCTCACTTGTCCTCTCAGTGCCCTCCTGGCCTTGCATGAACCCCAGTGACAGGGAACTCACTACCTGACAAAGCTGTCCTGCTGAGTGGGTGGCTGCAGGAGCAAGAAACTGTGAGCCAACTCTGCCTGGGTAGTTCTGCTCCTGGCTCTGCCCTTCCCTCAGGACAGACCTTAGAGATCTGACTGTGTCTTCTCCTCTGACCTCCCAGGTTGCTCCCTGCACCCCACACCTGCTGAGCCCTTCCATCCCTCCAGGCTGCTTGCTTCCCTGCTCTGGGCTCCCTCCACACTCTCACTTGGTTTGGGCTGCTTCCCCTGGCTGGGGACCGGGGGGAAGCTAATTGGTCCACGTGGGCATCAGATGTGGCAAAGTTGAGCAAATGGGCCCAGGTGACACCCCACTGGGGGGAACCAGCCTTTGGGAACAGGGTCTGCTGTCCCAAATCAAAGTTCCAGCTTGCTGTGTCCTAAGGACCTCACCTTTAGCCTCTGCCCAGGCCCTGGGGAGGAGTGTGTGAGTCCAGCTCCTGGAGCTCTGACTCATTGGGGGGCAGGGGGTGGAGGGGGGTCTGCTTCTCTCTCCAGAGGCTGGAGCTGGGAGGCGGCTGTGGCTGTGGGTGGGGAGGAAGCGCCCGGGGCTGAGTCAGGAGCAGGGGCTGCACTGATGCGCACGGGCTTTGCAAGCGCCGGTGCAGGTGAGCATCTGGGCCTCTCCACTGTTCCGTGATGGTGGAAAACCCCATACCTCCAGCCCAGGCTCTGGCTCCAATGAGGCCCAAGGTCACCATCAGGAGGGGGTTCCTGTCTTAAGCTGCCACTCCCTCCCCTTTGGGTATCCAGGTCACTCTAGGGCTGTCCACTTACCACAGAAGATGCTATGCTCATTGACAGAGAAAATATACTTCTCCATTTTGGGGTCACAGCCCAGCTTCTCCAGACGCCCGTAGCAGCAGTCATGGGCATGGCAGCACCTGTGAGGGTCACGGTCGACCTGCAGGAGCCTGTGAGCCTGCAGGCTGGACCGGGGGCCCAGGGCCCAAGGGCGCTCAAAGGAGAGGTCAGCCCCCACGTTCTAGGTGCCCAGATCCTCCCTCCTCGCAGGACGCTCCCTCCAGCTCCTCCATCCCCCAGGAAGGTCCCCCTGCTGGACCTCACCAGTCGGTCGGGTCCACTGGCCAGTGGGAGCCGCCAATGCCGCAGTAGCAGCCGTAGTCATTGTACTGCAGCGCCGGCTTCCCCGTCATCTTCTCAATCATCAACCCAAACTGGACCAGGTTCCCGCCAGCCAGGGCCACTGCAGGGAGGCCACCAGATCCCTCAAGGCCCCACCTTCTGCAGCTACCTTCCCCTGAGGTCCCCTCGAATCTGATTCCAGACACCTGTCCAATTGTCCAGTGAAGCTCACTTCCCCAAAGCACCCCACTCCCAGTCACAGTCAAGATAGGAAGTCATAATATCACCAGTGAGGTCCTTTGCACCTTAATCCCCTAGTCCTCACCCCCAGCATGTCAGCCCACCCAATGGCCGTCCCACTCCCCCCCACTGTCTCCTGGTATATCACATGCTCACCCCTGCTGGGGGCTCCCCATTGGCTCTTCAAATCCCTCCCAAGGGATCTCCATCATCTCCCCAGGTGTCAGCCTCTGTCTGTGCCAGGAGCGCTCTGCCCCCTGCAAGTCTCATCAGATGCCACTAGACATGTTTCCTAACCACCTCCATGGACCTCCCCAAGTTCCTCTGGATCCTGATTCAGCAACGGGGCAGCTGCTCATGGCCGCAAATTGGAGCCAAAATTGGAAGCCAGGGTGGTGAGGGAGCCCTGTGTGTGCTGTTTGGGATCCCTGCCAGCCCCTCTCCCATGCCCCCACCCCCCACGCTGCATTCTCCTCCTCTCCTCCCGCCACTGCTGGCTCAGGCAGAACTGGATCACCCTGGTGGCAGGAAGGGGGTGACCTTCAGCGTTTGGTACCCATCACGCCCTCTGCAGGGCCAGCCTCAGGGGCGGCCAGGGAGTTCAGGGTTGTTAGATGGGGTGGGGGTGGGGGGGCGGTGAAGGCTGAAGTCATGAAGGTCACTTACCCAGGAGGCAAAGGAAGGTCAGGACAGGGGGAGGCTTCATCCTGGGGGAGGGGAGGTGAGCAGGGGGCAGAGGAGCTGCCGCAGCAGGAGGAAGTGTGCAGGGGCGCCTGTGATCTCAGGGCACCTCCCAATTAGTTAAATACCCAGGTCCTGTCCACTCCCCATCATTAACCCCTAAGTGCCCAGTGATGTAATGATTCTTTCAGATCTGACACTGTGGCCAAGCCCCCGGGGTGGGGCCAGCTGGGGCCTGTGGGCTCTACTTCCAGGCAGTGTGGGCAGTGGGGGGCAATCTTGTGGCTCTTTCTCCTCATGCCCTTCCCATCACCTACCCTTTTCCAAAAATGATCATACCACCTGCCGTTGACTGACCTGCGAACTGGGGCTGTGCCAGTGCTTTTCATCCTTGGTGGCTTTTCCTAATCCCTATTTCACTGAGGCAGCAACGGAAGCCCAGGGAGGCTGAGAAACAGCAGTTCTCACGGCCTGGGAGTGCCAAGGCCAAGTCTGTCCTGTTTCCGAGTTTCCACTCTGGCAAAACCAGAGGCAAGATGCCCCTGCCCTGGCCTGCAGCTCCCCTCCCCTGCTCTCCCTGTTTCTGGGCTGTGAGTGGGATAACTTGACTATCAATTTCCATCGACATTCAAGGCCTGGGAGCTGCTGGGTCTGTGGCCTGGGAGTCCTGGTTCCACCACTTATTACGTGGCCTGGGGCAGGTCTTTTCCCTTACTTGGAACCTCAGTTTTCCAGTCTGTATTATGGGGATAGAAGGCATCCCACCTTGCCTCCTTCACAAGAGCATGGGAAGCCCAAATGCAACCAAGCAGTGTGAGCTCAGTGAGTGCCTACTGTGTGCCAGGCAAGCACCAAGCCTCCCACAAGCAAGGCTGCAATGAGCCTCCAAGGGCCCTAAGACACCCGCGCTACAAGCATCTGCATTGTACAGAGGAGGAAACTGAGGCACGAGTGTAAGTGCTGAGCCTGAATTTGAGCCCAGACAGCCCAAAGGGCTTAACCAGGGTTAACCAGGTTAACCAGAGCCAATTGATCCATTAGGCATGGGAAGTGCAGTCCCTAACACCCATGATACTTATAGGGCCTCCCCGAAATGTTTTAATTTCTTGTAAAATCAGAATAATGAGTATAATCCAGCCTGGATTATATTTGTCTTCATATCAATGCAGTCATAAAATTTAATTTTTAATATTTTTTTATATGAAGGAAAGGGCCCATGACAAAGATCACATTGTGGCCTTGAGCTTGACCATCTTCAGGTTTCAGGAGCTGATTTGGGGCCTGGTGTCAGCCTCCTTTCCGGGAGAGGAGACTGGACATTCTGAGGCTGGATCTCTACCGCAGTGAGGAAGGAATCCCGACACAAATTTCCTGACCCCACCCAGGCAGAGGATAGAGTCCCTGGGGAGGTGTCACCTTGGAGCAGGGAAGGGAGGACTGAGGGGCAGGAATCCCTGGGCAGTGATTTGGGATGAAAGGTTTTAACCTAAGAGAAAAGCCCAGTAAACACCTGCTCCTGCCCCTCCCATTCGTCTCCTGCTGACAACTCCTGGGACTCTCACGCTGGCTCTCACCCACTTTAGAGAAGACCTGGGGGAAGAAGGGCCCAGAGAGGGGAGTCCACCTGCCCAGGATCACCCAGCAGCTGTGACTCATGGTCTCCTGAGAAGGGAGACTTCTGTTCACTGTTTCCTTTTGATTTTAATGAGGGCACCTCCTGGCAGCCCCTGGCTCCTAGCCTGGGTGATGAGAGCCCAAACAGTGAGTCACTGAGGAGCTACCTCCTAAACAACTGAAAATTAGCTTTGATTTCCGGGGAGGTCTGGTCCACAGCCATTCCTGTGGCAGGTAGCTTAAGGGGTGTTTACCAGGAAGGGCCAGGTTCCTGAGATGATCCCTTTTGTGACCCATTTTGAATCCTGGCCTGGCCAATACAGGGCCCTCACTGAGGACTGTAGGGCCAGAGCCAAGCAGGGAAAGCCAGGCAGGCTTCTGGATGGAGGTGCTCCCAGCTGAGGGTTGAAGATGGGTGTTGGTAGGACTTGAACTTGGAGGACAGTTTCAGACATTCGGGAGGGGTAGTTGGCTTCATGGTTTTCACGCCATCGGCATGATGTGGTGGAAAGCAGCAGCAAGACCAGCACTTGAGTGTTAGCTACTCCACTTAGGGGCTGTGTGATCCCGTCCAGTCCCGTCACCTCTCTGAGCCCAGCTTCGTCATCCATAAAATGGAGATAATTAGACTGACCTTCCAGGATTGCAGACCAGATGAAAAGGAAACGAACTGTGTAAAGCCTTTTGCAGGAGGCCTTGCCCATAAGAGGAACCCGTAAACATCAGGTCCCTCCTTTCCTCCTCCCTGACCTGGCCACAGAGGAGGCAGCTGCTGTCCCAGATCAGATACTCACTGGGGCACGACACGCAGCTGGGCCAGGGCTCCCAGCATGTCGATGGGATTATTTATTTTAACTTTCAGAATGGAGTGTGTTGGGTAGAGGTAAGTGGAGGAAACAGAGCCAGCCTCTCAGCAGTGTCTTCTTTCTCTAGGTGTAAACCTGTCTTAGAAGTCATCATTGTCATCATCGTCATCATCATCATCCTAACCATAAAAATGGCAAAACAAATGACCACCATATACTAAGTTCCCACACTGCTGCCGGTGCCGTGCTGAGAGCCCTAATCTGCTTTGTCACATCACTTCTTGTCACAGCCTGTGTGGCTGCCCTTGGAGTTTTAGGATCCTACAGACCTCTCTGAACAAGGCGAGATAACTTATGACTGGAAGGATTAATTGCTTTTTCAGCCAGTAATCTATATTGATGACCTGTTATGTGCTGGGGATACACTGGACAGCAATACCAGGTGTGGTTCCTGCCCTCGTGGAGCTTATAGTCCAGTGGGGGAGACAGATGTCAGATGTTCAATATTATTACATACTGAATGGATACTTATAAATAGGGAAAAGTAGCTTGACAGAAAGTTCCACAACTATGAGAGTGATTCACGGGGCATCTGATCTGGGCATGGGGTCAGTGAGGGCTTCTCTGCGGAAGAAATGACTGAGCAGGGATCTCAAGAAGTTAACGGGGTGAAGAGGGAAGTTGAAAGAGTTTAAATAGAGAGACAGCCTGTGCAAAGGCCCTGTGGTCCGAGGGAGGTGGCAGCCAGGGAAGGCTGAAAGGAAGCTGAGGCTAGTGGTGGGTGGGCCTGGAAGGGCATGATTTGCTGGGAAGCTGACTTTGGGACCTCAGCCTCTCATTTGCCCCACATAAGCCTTTGCTTGAGCCTGGTGAGTAGGTGGCCTAGAGTCTGCAGAACGGAGGTGAAGGCCTGGGAGTATTGCTCCCTTATAGTGGGGAGACTCAGTGGTACCCAAAGTCCAGGTAGATTTGTCCCTCCACTGGGAACAGGCTTTGTACAGGTGTTGTCACACAGTTGGGTTCTCCCACCCCTAATGGAGAGCATAGAACAAGAATCCATGGCGTGAGTCTGTTGTCGTCTTTCACTAGGGTCACCAACGTCCTCGTGAAATGGCATACCTGGGCTTGGTTGGTCTTTATCCAGGGAAAGATGGAATGCCAGTGTGAGGGTTTAAGCAAAGAGATGACCTCCTCATGTCTGTTTGGAAAAGATGGTCCTGGCTGCTGAGAGGAGAACGGATAGGAGGGACTCCAGCAAGGAAAAGACCGATGGGCAGGGATCTGCGGAGTCGAGGATGGCGCGGCCCCTGGTGCTCCCCACGCATCAGGTGACCGGGGCCGTGGGGCCTGGGGTGGGGTGATGAGTGCATAGGGACACCCCCCTTCACCAAGCCCCGAGAGGAGGTGAGGACAGTGGAGGGAGGCCAGAGGAGCAAGTGCCCACCGTCGGCAGGTACAGGCGGCCTGAGCACCTGTGAGTTTTGCTGGGATGCTTGTGAGTGTAGGTGCGTGTGTGTCTGCGGGGATGTGTAGGCCACTGTGAGGGGCTCCTTTGCTCCCGAGTGACATAGCCTCATGGTTGAGATGACACTATGGACTCTGGGATCAGGCAGCCTGGCTTTACTTACCACTGGCTAACTGGGTCCTCTTGGGCAAGTGACCTAACGTCCCGCAGTCCCTGTTTCTTCCCTTGTGTGATAGGGATAATGACAGTGTCCATCTCCTAATGTTGCTGGGAAAGTTAATAATACCTGCAGTGTGCTCAGAATAGGAGCCTGTGAGGTGTGATGGTTATTACTATTGCTGGTGCTGTCAGCAGCAGGAATACTAGGTAACACAGATTTGGGGACCTCCCCCACAAGCCCCTTTCTTCTTGGAAATCCTCCTTTCTCAGGGGCCTTAAGAACCTGTTCTAGTTGGGTGGTTGGGCTCGCCCCTAACATTTGTGGGGCCTGAGACAGGAGACCATGTGGGGCCCTCAAGCCGTGTGTCTTAAGATTGAAAAGTTATCGATCAAGCTGACAAACTGGGAAATAAAGCACATTTTTTTCCTTCTATCTAAATATATTTTCCTAACCACAAAATAAAGAATATATGGAAAGCCACAGTTTTTATATGACTGAAATTCAGAAATACGTCCAAGTTGATTGAGTTTGGTTATTATTTCTTATGTCTGCGTGTTCTGTTGATGGGCTGGCAATGTTTGAATGTTATTAAATAAAGACATATGTATTTCCTAAATTATTACAGACTTATTTCATAAAACTTGTTTTTCTTGCTTTCATTTCAGCAAAATCCCCAATCATGTTATAATCAAGTTTTCATATAACTTGTGTTTCTCTGACAGTAATGATGATTTTTTAAAAATGTAATTGCATTTTAGGTGTACAAAATTTAACTATATTTTTTAAATGACAAAGTGAATCTAAAGACAAAAAATTAAAATTATTTTAATGTATGTTTTCAAAAAGATATTTTTCTTTGAAAATATTTTAAATGCTCTATTAAAATGAAAAGGCAGAACACAAATGATAGCAAGAGAATATAAAAAATTGTAAATAAAATTATTTGGATAAAGTTGACTTTTTAAATTTTTTGTTGAAAT